TGGGAAAGGGAGCTGGCTGTGAGCTCCGGCCTCAGTGGCCAACGCTCCTCTGTCACACTTAGCGCAGGCCCAGTAGCTTGGTAGCTCTCGAACTCAGACAACTGTCATAGACGCACACCTGTCTCCTCTTTCCTGTAAACCAAAATCGCTGACTCTGTGAGCTGGCTCTGTGTAGCTAACACCCTAAACACCCATCGCTGTGTAATTCTTAAGAGTGGATGGATCTCGTGTCCATGTTCTCAGTCACTTACAAGGTGGGTGCAGAGGCCCTGCGGAGCTGGCCTTTCCAGTTAAACAGCTCACCTGGTGCTGGTGATTCTCTGGCTCCCCCTCCAGATCTATGCTTCGTCCGTCTCCAGACTACTGGGCTCTCCTACGCGCTGCACTGCAGCTGGGTTTGGCCAGTGAGTTCCCAGCATGAGACCAAATTTCAGGAGGCGAGAGAGCTCAGGGTAGTGGCTTCCCCACTCCCCTGCTGGGTGGCCCTTCTCCCATGGTCGGTCTCTTGCTGGCCTCTGCATACAGCTCCCTCACTGGGTCCCTTCACTGGTGTCCAGGTCTCACTATTGCTAGTACCTGAGTGCTTCACTATTCCCTCTTGTGCCATGGCCTCTGCAAATAGTTCCTGCACTAAACTCTCATCAGTTTCCACTTTGGCTGTGCCATCTATCTGTTACTGGGACCTTTACTGACATAACACATACCTTTTAATGTCCTTCAGCGACCAGAGGGCTGGAGTGCAACCTGTCACCCTAGGTTAGGTATAATTCAGAACTCACCTTTGCGATGCTGACACTTCATTTCCCAGCCATTCCTTCAAGCTCACCATAATTCATGTGAGCTTTCTATTAATGTGGTTTTCCAAAATATAGCATGGAGTCCAGGCAGAAGCTGAATTCAGGATCCTGGCTTCTCAGGCAGATACCTCTCTGAGTATGATACCATCAGTAGCTGCACTGGTAGAAGGGAAGTGGCTCTGACAGCAGCTACATGCAGTTCTGGGTTTGAGCTCAAGTCTGCGCCCCTTTGCCTTGGGGTTTTTATCTTTGCCCTTGTTGAAATGTGTGCTGCTGAACTCATCCACGTAGAAAGGCTGCATAATCTCCACGTCCCATGAAACTCAGGTTTTAGAAAAAGTGATCCCATAATTCTGCTCATTTACTCTTTTTCCCTCCCAGGGGCCAAAACCCCCTTGTTTCCTTGACCGGAATTTTTTTAGTGGACCAAACATTTTTGGGCTTTTGCATGCTATTTTCCAAACCCTTAAAGGACCCAGCCCGCCAACGCTGGTGCCAGGTGGCCAAAACATGTCTGCTTGCTTCAGCAACCCAACCTGTGTCTTGGAGGGGACAGATAAGCCTTGGGAACAAAGGGTAAAGAGTTCCTGCCAGCCTAGCCCATCCAGAGTCCAGGCAAGGATCAAGTGAATGACCCACTGCATTGTGCAATGACCCTCCAAGGAAGAAAAGGCCAGGGTGACCGCTGATTTCATAAAGCTTCATCTGCACCTCCTTGTATGGGCTTCTTTTGCCCCCCATGGTTTGCTTGTTTTTTTTCCATTCCAGGAGGACCCCTCTCACTACCATACCTCACCATTCTCACCATAATAAAACCAGTTCTCTCTTTCCTTCTGTTAATCTGAAGGGTCTTCTTATTGGTTTTCACTGGAATTGCGGAATAATTGAAAGGCTTTGGAGTTTTGACAATGTGATGGAAGTGGTACTGTCTGGAGGCACGGCTTTTGTGGAATGGAGCAAGGTGAGTGTCACTCATACTACGCCATCTGTGTTTTCAAAAGTCCAAAGAGCCGAAAGTGACCAGAATAAAGAAGCAATACTGGACAACATACCAATTTAATGCACATCCAAAACATTCAAAAGACACAACCAGCACTCAGCATCGCCGGGAGAGGGAAAACGCGCCACAGGATACATTCCCAGGGTTGCATTATAAAGCCCCTACACACAGAACCCTGCCTGCGGTCACAGCCCTCCTGGACGGGCGCTGGAGTCTCCCACAAGCTTGAGCACCTTCCCAAGCTCATCTTAGCCTGTGATGGACACTAGCAAATATGGAAGCACCAAAGCTTCGAGGACGGTGGGCAACAGGAAATGGCGCCAGCTGGCCCAGCATTCGGGTCCCCCATTGGTGGCTCTTTTCCTCTTCTCCCTCCTCCCGCCTCCAGTGCTCTTCTTTTTGCCTGGGATCTGTCACACCCTTGTCCCTTGTCCCTTGTCGCTGGATGGGCAGTGGCCCCGAGCCCTGTGCTCAGCTGTACGGCTGCGTCCTGCGTCCTGAGTCTCCCGGACCGACCTGCCTGCTTAACTGAAATCTTCCCTCCGTCTCTGCAGCTTAGTCCTGGTCTCTTCCTGCCGGCTCCTCCAGGCAGCGATGACGGCTTCGTCGTCCATCTCTCCCTCTTCCTCCCTGTCGGTGCTCCTCCGGTACTGGGCCCGCCGCCCTGCAGCAAACCTCCCTTCTTCTCTGTTTTCCGTCCTCTCTTTCTCTCCCTCCTCTTCAGACCTCATGAAGCTCTGAGTGAATTTCCTCTTCGCTCCAAACTCAGAGAAGTCGGACCGCGACGACTCCTCCGCGTCCTCCCAGTCCCCGGGCCGGGCCCAATCCGGCCGGCGGGACTCCGGGGACTCGTCCCCGGTGGAGGACTCGGGGGTCCGGCGGAAGAAGTGGGGCTCGGGGCTGGGCCCCCGGGAGCGCGCGGTCTCGCTGAACACGGCCCTGGAGAAGGTGCGCGTCTCTCGGCCCTCCCGGCAGGACGACGCGGAGAAGCGCGAGGTGCTCCGCACGGAGCCGCCGCTGGCCGCGTCGTACGCGCTGGTGTCCTGCTCCGTGTGCCGCGACTTGGAGACCTTGTAGCTGGAGGACGTGGACTCGGTCTCCCGGAGCAGGGACGACCGGCTGCGCGTCCCGCGGGAGCTCCCGGACCGCTCGCTCTGCGGAGGAGATCGGTCCCCTGCGCCCAGGCCGCGGAGCCACGTGTCGATGCCGCCGGCCCCGCTGCCGCTTGCGCGGCGCTCGGACACGTCCAGGGAGGAGCAGGCGTCCGTGTCCGGCCTTTGGGAGTCGCCGCGGGAGGAACGCCGGAGGCTCCCGATGGCGCTGTCCGCGTCCTCGTCCCCGTCGCCGGCGTCCTCCGCCTCCTCGCCCGGCGCCTTCTTCTTCTTCTTGAACAGGTTGCTGCGCCTGTGGTCGGAGGCCAGCTTCTCCATCCGGTACCCGGACATCTTCTCCCGCAGCTCCGTCTGCATCTGCTTCTCCTTGCGGCCGAGCTCCTGCAGGTCCACGTGGTCCGCGAAGAGGCCGCGGGTGGGCTGGCCGGTCCCCCTCGCTCGGCTGGCGGCGCCCTCGGCCCCGGCGTGGGCGCTGGGCCTGTCCTGCGTGGGGGGCAGGAGGCCCGCGGAGGACGCGCTGTGCCCGCTGAGCGTGGAAACCTGGTCGTCCGCCCACGCGCCTGCCGCGGACGCGGGGCGGGACGGCAGCAGCAGGTCGCCCTGCCTCTGGGCGAGCGTCTCGCTGACCACGCTGGCGATCCAGCTCTGGATGCTGGCGATGGAGACGGCGTCGCCCGGGCCCGCGGGCAGGGGAGGCAGCGGGGTGCAGGCCGGGCCGCCCCCCGCGTCGCTGACGGGCCGCGACGGGCGGGCGCCGAGGCTCTGGCCGCTGAGCACCGACGCCGCGTCCCCGTCGGCG